AAAACATTAAATTTTCAACGTCACAGAAACTTTTATCGTTTTTCTATAGATTAGAAAAGATAGAATAGATCAACCACACACAAACGTACAGACACCATCGCGGGGGTAGTCAGGGAAGTTTCTTGAGATCTTGAAACGTCGAGATCTAGTGAAAACTCAATTTGCAAACGGGGTGAAACCAATAACTTCCAGATTTTTGAAAATCTTCGATTTTCTTAGTGGGAAGTTAAAAATTTTTTCACTAAATTTTTGTGATACCTCATTTTGCCCCCTCTCCGGGTAGGATTAGGGTATAATCCTACAAAAATTCTTAAATTTTAACCATGCCTTATAAATTAGCTCAAGTAAGTATTAAATACTTTGTGGTATCTTTCAAATATTCTAATTTAAATTGTCAGTACAAACACAAACTTAAATCTTTAATTCTTTTACACAGCTTCCTGCGAAGTATGTTATATTTTTTGACCAAAACTATCGCAATGAATAACCATATTATAAAAATTTACTTTTCGTTTATATGGTTATAGTATCGATATCTATACTAATATATAAATCTATAGAGTTTTTTACGGTTGTTCCGTTAAAACTATTAAACTATACATCCGATTGAGTTGAAATTTCGCATCCATGTAGAGGATACATTGACTTAATGGATAGGCTAACTTTTTTATCCATGTTGAATCTCCGAAGTGTATAGCGGGGGCGTTTATGATTAGAAAAATCATAAAAAACTAAATTTTGAATTTTAACTTTTTTAGACATGAAATTTAAAGAGAATTTTTTTGGGCTAGGTGGAGAACAAACAAAAATATATTAAATGAAGTTTGAATCCCACAATCGGTTACAGGGGCGCTAATGAAAAAAAATGAAAATTTTAAACTAGAACTCCCACAGACTTATAATTTAATAAAAATTTCGTATTTGTTGAATAAAGGTTTTCTACTATCAGATTTCGAAAAATTTCAGCCCCAGAGGAGATTGTGGGGGTGTTAAAAATTTGTAAAATTTTTGTCTTTCTTCTGTTATCTATATAAATGAAAATAGAATGCCACATGTATGTCCATGCATCACTCGAGAACGGCTGAACCGATTGGGGTAATTTATTTTTGTTGTCTTCAACATTGTCAGGAGAATGTTTATATGTAAAAAAATTTCAAAAAAATCCTCCCCCATAGGGGATTGCGGGAACGTTAACAATGAATAATTCCCGTTTTCAAACTATAGCTCCTATAGACCTCAAATTTGGTAGAAATCTCCTGTAAGAAATATCGAAATAATTTATAAACGAATTTTACGATAGCTCACTCCACAGGGGGTTGCAGGGGTGGATATTAACAATAAAAATTTGCAATTTTCAAATTATAGATTGATCCTACAGAAGGCAAATTTAGTTGAGTTTTCCATATGTGTTGCGGAAGTGATCTAAGAGCGGATTTTACTACAACCCACCCTCAATAAGGATTGCGGGGGTGGATGTTAAAATGTTAAATTTCTGTTTCTAAACTGTAACTTCTACAGACTCCAAATTTGGTAGAAATCTTCGTGTATGATGTTAAGTTCAGCTAAGAATGGATTTTATCAAATTCTAGCCCCAAAAGGGACTGCGGGGACGTAAGCAATGAAAACCTATCATTTCCAAACATCAGTTTCTATGGACTCGAAGTTTAGTAGGAATCTTTTATTTATAAAGTAGAAATCATCTCGAATCTTACGAAATTCCTCCCCCACATAAGAGTACGGGGGTATTAATTGTCAAAAAATTCATATTTTTCAAATACAGTTTCTACAGATGAATCGTTTAATTGAGAAAATCCATAAGTCATGGGATTTTTATATGGCTTATTGAATTTCTAAAATCAATTTATATTTATGTTATTTTTGCTGATCACATAACCAATTAATTGTTCTTATTACGGGATTGCGGAAAAGTGACAAATTAAAATGAATGCATTTTTCAAACACTCGATGTGTGAAATAGAAATTTAGCTACTTATTTTAATAGAATTCGCAAAGATCATGTACAATTAATTTTCTATACAAAATTTTATATAAAAAAAATTGATGCCACGGAGAAAATTTTAATTAACAGTAAAATTTGTCGCACTTTAAGCTAGGCAGATTTTAACTTCACTTATGAGACCTGCAATTACTTTGACTGAAACTTTCAATGCTCATTTCAAATTTTTTTCTTCGTGTCAATTATTATTTATTTTTGTAAGAAAGTCACGGGAATGTTATAATGATTGCTCATTAAAAGTTACATTGAATATTAGCTAGAATAATTACATGGATAAAAGGTACAGGCCAATTCGATGGAATTTGGAATCTCTGGAAGTCAAAACAATACTTTAATTAAATATCAAGTCTAGATCTAAAAATATAATTCTTTAAAGCACCCAGCGGAGCGGGTGGGTAACAGCTAGTATATTTATATTAACGTCCATTATATAGTTAATATACGTGATTTGATGGGAAAGATAAAAAATTAATCTTATGTGAAACTTTTTTATTTTATCGCCAAAGTTTCGTCAACATTCCTTCCTTCTTTAAGGCTTTTCAATGAGAAACAAATTTACCAGTATATTATACGTGTCTAACTTTTTGAAAAGCAAATGTTAAAGTTCCCTCTACAGCATCATATTTTTTAATTGTTAAAATTTTTATCTACTTGATCTGGTAAGGTATAAATATCATCTGGATTTTATTTATATATATGTTTTTTTTTAATTTTTTATTAGGGTAACTCTCATTTTTATTTATAAATTACATGATTATCATAACGTAAATAACTACAATACGATCTCGTAATAAGATTACGCACTGTAAAACTCTTTCCTTGAAATTGCTTTAACTTGCTCAGAATTCTCCTCCTACCAATTACTCATTAATAGATTTGCGTTGAAGTCTCGCTATAAGGCTGATGACTAAATAATGAAGATATATACATCTATAAAGTATTTAACGGTATTATAAATCAATAAATATTTTTATGTGATCAAAATTGAGAGGTACATTCATAAATATAAATTTTAAAGTGTAGCCAGAAAATCAACTATTTTTTTTTTGCTTCCAAAATCGAAAAATTTCTCATTACCTCAAAGTAGATATCAAGTCAAGACGTAAATGAGCTTCTCGAAATTTTTAAGATTATCTATTGGGAACAAAGTATTTGAATATAAAGGAATATTTTATTTCACAAGGAATCAGTAAGTCAAGTAACAGAATAATTTTATTTGCTACATTATTTAGCCTACATACAATAATAATATTTTTATGAAGCATTCATAAATTAAGAAAGAAAGAAGGGAAAATAAGAAAACAACTTTGAAAAACAGTTGACTAAAACTTCCCGCAATATTCGAGCTCAAAATGCTCAAAAATTTGCTTATTACTAAGTTTTAGGTTCTTTGGGCTCATAAATACATCTATGCTACATTTCAAGTTCGAAAATCCAGTAGTTGAGGAAGTACAGTTTTTTGATAATTTCGCGTAGTGATCTCTCAAACGGATCAATCAATTTCAACGTGGTTTGAGTCAGTTCACGGTTTTTTTTTTTTTTTTTTGTAGAAAAGCTGATTAGATTTTGGATTCATTGAAACAGCAGTTTAAAAGTTTTAAAAGTTATGTCATAAAAATATTTTTTTTTTAATTGATTTTTGCGATTTCTCAAAATCTATCGGGCTGTTAATTAGTTAAAAAATAAAATTAAATACATGTTTTTCAAATTAGATGATTTGGTGTGAAGTAACCGACATTTATTTCTTATATTTCAATTACTTACATTAAATTAGAGGAAAAAAATTAGGAAAACGGTTGACCCTAAAGACCATCCCTGCAGCTTCCCGCTAATTCCGTACCCAAGCGCTTAAAATTGCACTTATAACGTTTTTGAGCTCTCCGAGCTCTAAGAATTAGCTGTTCTATGCTTTTGAGCTCGAAGAGCTCAAAAGTCTGATAGAAGTTTGATAAAACACAATTCTTTAAATTTGCAAACTGCAATTACTTTTGAATGAATAAACCGATTTTCAGGCGGATAGTAGCATTCGACGCCGTTTTTCGGATCTTTTTTTTTTTAATTTGTTTAAAGTTGCATAAACTACTAAGGTCATGAGCGACTACGGTAGGGGGTACACTTTTGAGATTGGAACTCGTTTGTATTTCTTGGGCTGAGCAGAATAATATATACTTAAATATTGAAAATATTCATTGGTGTACGCCGGATTCGAACCCGGTCCAATGCTTTGGTAGCAAGAGCCGGATCCGATAGGCTACTGCGCGCCTTTTTCGAATCTTATGATTTACTTTTAAACACAAATTGATCAGACCGAAAATTGTGGAGAAATTTGATAAATTCACTTTTTCCGGAGTTTTTTGACAACGATAACCTACGAACGAATCAACCGATTTTGACCGACCCAGCGGCGATTTACGTGGTTTTTTGATTTTAAGAGTTGATTAGTTTTCGAAATCGATTTGTAAAGCCGTTTAAAAGTTATTCCAAAAAAATCTCATTTGAAAAAAATTTTTTTTGTAGTTTTTTTTAGATTTTTCAAAATCTACCAGTCCGAATCGGTCCAAATTGTATTCAGAATCTAAGTTTTGACAAGCCCTTCTGAATGGCGCCAATCACAATCAAATCGCAACATACATACACACACATACATACGTACACACACACACACACACACACACACACACACACACACACACACACACACACACACACACATACCATCGTAAAAATTGTCAGGAAAGTTTCCTATAGGACCTCAAAACGTCTAGATCTGATGAAAACTCAATTTTTGAAAAACGGGGAAAAATCAATAACTTTTCGATTTTCGAAAATTTTCAATTTTCTTAGCGGGAAGTTAAAAAAATTAAAACTTATAGGGTAGAAATACTGGTTTTGGCCATCTTAGGACCGCTTTTGGCCACTTGATATTTTAGTGAAATTGTAAAAAATTTAACTATTCAAGTAGAATTTTTATAGAACTTATGAATTACCCTTATAGGAAATGACAATCGGCCCGAGCTTGGCCAAGGCTTGGCGTAATGCTCATTAACTCTGGGGCAAGCTTGAAATCCAAGCTTGGCTCAAGTCCGTCTAAGCATACAAATGATAACTTCCTGCCAAGACTGAATATCAGTACTGAGCCAAGACTGAGAATAAGTATTGTTCCAAGGCTGAAAATAAGTATTGTGCCAAGGCTGAAAATAAGTATTGTGCCAAGACTGAATTTTAGTATTGAGTCAATACTTGGCGGATTCGTGGTCACGATAAATTGATCGTCAAACGACGGTAAATGCACCGTAAATTCAGAGTGTTGATTAATGATCGTCGCTTGACTATCGAACGACCGTCGTTTGAGTGGCTGGGTCTTGGTTCAAGACTGGCAAACCAAGACTTGTTACATAGACATTGGCTATATCTTGGTTCAAGAGTAGTAAACCAAGACTTGTCACTTGAATATTGGCTGGATCTTGGTTCAAGACTGGCAAACCAAGACTTGTTAGATAGATATTGGGTGGATCTTGGCTCAAAACTGATCAACCAAGACTTGTCAGTTGAGTAGTGGTCCAGTCGTGGGCCAGTATTGTTCGGCCGAGTCTTGGCAACCCAGTATTGTGCCAAGACAGGCCTCGTTGTATATAATTTTTTTCCTACAAGGGTAGTACATTTATACGAATTGAATTCATAAAGTCTTGCGCTTATAGAAATATTTATACAATAATTTGAAAATAAAGTGGCAAAGAAACGTACACTACTGGCCACAAACGGCACTTCTACCCTATTGCTTTATCACGAAATTTTTGACCAATTAATATTTAAACTATTTATATTTTAAAAAAGATAATACGAAAATGACAATGACGTACCCAGTAACCATCAGCACAAAACTTTGAATGATCCCTCAATCAAATAGGCCTATTAGAGATTGAAAATTAAGGGACTACGATAAAAAAGTTTTTGAGGGAAGCAAAATCAATCATATACTCTTCTCTATTATTGCTCGTAATCGGAAATAATGAGGAAGCTGTATTTCATTAAATCTCAAATCAAAAGCTTTAAAAATTTTTCATTTTCATGATTTGATTTCAGTGCTTTGGATTTTTTTTCTTCAATTTTTCGCCAAAATGTTGAGTTATAATTTTTAATGAAAATAAATTACTTCATTTTTATTCAATAACTTTCTCACTAATTAGATTTCGTCACTATTATGCATGTAATGAATTGAAGATTGATCCTTATAATTGTTAAATTTTTTGTCAATAAAAATCACACACCATATACATCACTTTTATAAATTCAAACTCGAAAATAGAATGTAAATCAACGGTTCACAAAACGATATCTCGTACATATTGTCATTATAACGTATTATTTTCTTTGAATTACGATAGTATCGTCCAAATTTAAAATATTATACTAATAAAGTTCTTATTAATCATAATTACATATTTTGAAGCTAAATATTGAGAACATCTTAGCAATTCAGTTATCTAGTAATGGATAAAACAAAAAGAAATACTGAAAAAGAATTTAACTAACCAGTAACATCTTCACGTCTAATGTTTTACCGTAGTTGTCACATTTGCACGTAACTTTCTAATGAATTTCCGAGAAAACACATGAACCTGTCGCAGGAATTATAGAGGGGAACGATGAAACGACAAAGAACGCACTATAAAGTTAATGAATCATCCATGACCCGGTAATGTATTAATGATTTACGTATCTTCATTAAATTATTTACCACGATATAATAAATAATTATGTAGAATGAATAAATAGTTAGTCAATAATATTAATTATAAGGTAAACCTACCTGAGTATTGTTCCCATAGCAAATAATTTTGGAACATAACTGTCGTAACGTTGAGCATGCAGATGAAATTAGAAGAACTACTCACTAGTAGAACGCATCGTGACGGGAGGGCGATACACAAAAAGACGAAGCATCGACACGAGGAGATAATAAATTCCCAGCAATGGCGGTATCACGACGTCATGAAGTTCAGTGAACTTGCGCTTACGGGAAGAATCTCTGTCCACGTTAAATGTATGTTGTATTGTATGTATGTAACCCGTATGCATATAAGTATTTATATATAATACATAATATAAATACATAAAATTTTATTGGCCACTATCGAAATTGAACTCAATGTAGTGTTTAAGTAAGAAGTGCCGCTTGTAAGTCTTTTAGTCAAAATATTACTCGGTTTATTCGATCAGAGGCCCATTAATACCGACTTGAACAGAAAAAAAAGCACTGACTAGTCTGACGGTTTGTGCAATTAAAAGTTCAAAAGGTTCGTTGAACTCGAAGTACCCCTTTATTTTCATCATTTCATTAATTTCTGTTATTTCTCTTTCTCTCTCAACTCAATCATTCTAATATTTAATCTCATATTATTTTCTATATATAATCAAATTTTTAGGTAGAATATAGTTATTTATTTCGGAAACGCATTATTACAGTTACAATTTTTCTCGTGTGACAATTAAAAAAAATTAGCAAAACGGTTGACCCTACAGACCATTCCTGTAACTTCGCGTTAATTTCAAATGCAAAGTGCTCCAAATTTCACCTATTACAACGTTTAGCTCTTCGAGCTCAAAAACATAGTTTTATAGCTATTTTCAGCACTCCAAGCTCCAAGATAGAAATGTTTTACGCTTTTGAGCTCAAAAGTGTAGTTTGTATTCAGTAAAACACTTTTTTGAATACATTTTAACTGCAATAGATTCGCTATAATTCTTTATAAGAAATCCGATCTAATAAGAATTGAAAAATTATTTTCAAAACCACGTTTTTAAAAAAATTTTTAAAACTCAATATCTTACGAACAAATCGTTCAAATGCTACGGACTTGAGGGTGTTCGACTCAAAAAGGTTTTTAAATGCTAATAGTTAATTAACTATATGAGTTAACTCATTACATCAAAAACGATCCGAGAACAAATTTCGAAGTTATTGAAAAAAAAAAACACTTTTTTTGTAATTTTTGATAACGATTATTGTACTGATCAACTGATTTTAACGCGATTCAAGGAAATCGACGAGGTAGAGGAGGGGGGAGGGCGAACGGTGTACTTAAGGAAATACTAAGTGTGTGTGTGTGTGTGTGTGTGTGTGTGTGTGTGTGTGTGTGTGTGTGTGTGTAAACCTCTTATAACTTTTGAACGGCTTAACAAATATTTCGAAAACTACTCAACTCTTAACATCCAAAAACCACATCGATCGCTGCTAGCCCGGTCAAAATCGGTTGATTCGTTCGTGAGTTATTGTTGTCGAAAAAATTCGAAAAAAGTGAAGTTTTTAAATTTCTCCAAAATTTTTGGTCTGATCGATTCGTGTTTGAAAGTAAATCATAGAATTCAAAAAACTGCGTTGAATATTCGAAGAGCTCAAAAGCCTAAAACAACTAACTCTTTGAGCTCGGAGAGCTTAAAATAACATATAACTTATATTTTGAGCTTGAAAAGCTCAAAAACGTCAAAAAAGTGAAATTTTAGCGTTTAGGTATGGAATTAGCGGGAAGTTACAGGGATGGCCATTAGGGTCAACTGTTTTCCTAATTTTTTTAGTTGTTTTCAAAGTGAGTAACAAAAATTTCTTAAAAGTGAATAACAAAATCAAATATCGTTGAAAAATTATTTTTTTATGGATAAGTCTAGAAAAGAATCCAGATAGATGAATAAATTACTTAAGGAAAAAAATATTGTCGAAGGAAGCAATATATTGAAAGTTTAAGTTAAAGTAATTGCAGGTCTCATAAGTGAAGTTGAAATCTGCCTAGCTTCAACACGGAAAAAAAGCGGCTTTAAAATCTCATCAGGTGATACAAAAATTGTATCACCTCTAAAGTCAACAGAGGTGATGTTAAATTTACGCCAACCGGTGATACAATTTTTTTATCTAATGTATTTTAAATGGGACAAACTTGACGGTAATATTCGTATTCTCAAACCTTGAAATAAATTTTTCAAGACAATATTCTTTTAGCATTGAACATACAAAGTCATCGGCCCTGTTATTTTCACGTTTTTTTTTATAACAGATTCTTAATAAATAAAAAAATACATACGACACAAAACATCAACAACAAATTACATAGTTAATCATTAGCACTAACTCAAAATTTTCAAAAATTATATTTTGATTTTCATTTCAAAGTAACTTTTAATGCGATAACGTATGGACTTACCGTGAAATGAGACTGCAAGATCGTGAAATAATTGATGATCATGACCCGGGAAAAAATGATCAGACATGAACAGGCATGAGTCTTCAGGCCTGATCAGACATGAAAAATTATCATGCCTGATCAAGCATGAATTGACTTGATCAGGCCTGATCAGACATGGTCAGGTCTGAAAGCCCATTGTTACTTTTAATTAATTATTTTGCTTTATTTTATGGATGTTGTATTTGATAGAGTCATGCGCAATTATCTATAATGAATTAAAATAAAGAAAAAAAATGATTACATATAATTATACGGCTGTAACACCAGCAGTCACCCATCCAACTATTAACCACGCTCAATGCTGTTTAACTTTGGTGATATCCGTGCGCCTTCAAGTTCCCGCCTGCTGTGCTGCTATCTTATGTGACAACAATTCTATGAAGTATATAACGTATCGAATTCGTTTATCATAAATATAATATAAAAATTGATTTTATAATATATCGAATCTCTATATTGATTTTATAATAAACCGAATCTCATTATAACATCATATTTATTTAAATAATAAAATAAGTAATGATTTTAATATTAGGCAGGAGCAGAGCAGACCAAAACATTCGATGGGAAATGTAACAAATTTTTTATTTCAAAATTATTTAAACGTAATGATAAAAATAATTTTGCACTTTTTGTGACGACCAAAAAAATTTGTTTCGTCAAAGAAAAAATTTTTATCACATCTCTGATTATGCAAGTCTGATCAGATCTACCCAGAAAAAATGATCAGACCTGACCATGCCTGTTCATGTATGATCAGGCCTGAAATTAGACCTGCTCATGTCTGTAAATGTATGATCAGGCTTGAAATTAGACCTGCTCATGTCTGTAAATGTATGATCAGGCCTGGAATTAGACATGGTCATGCCCGTTCATGTCTGAAGTGTTAAATACGCACAGGCCTGATCATACCTGTTCATGCCTGTTCATATCTCAAGCGTTAAATACGCTCAAGCTCGATGATACCTGTCCATGCCTATTCATGCTAAGGACCAAATATGATAAGAAAAAATTTTTGAATATGTACAGTGTATGTACATTAATTTCGATAAATAAATTTGTAAATTATCAATAAACAGTATATTTTATTATTCAATAAATAAAAGTATTTTGATTATCATTAAAAACCTACCGTAGGGTAAATTTAATTAACTTTTCTAGGCATGGACAGGCATGAACAGGCCTGAGCATATTTAATGCTTCAAACATGAACAGGCATGGACAGGCCTGATCAGACTTGAGCGTATTTAACGCTTCAGACATGAACAGGTCTGATCAGACCTGAGCGTATTTAACCCGTCAGGCCTGAGTGTATTTGACGCTTCAGACATGAGCAGGCATGAACAGGCATGGACAGGCATGATCATGTCTAATTTCAGGCCTGATCATACATGAACAGGCATGATCAGGTCTAATTTCAGGCCTGATCATACTTGAACAGGCATGGTCAGGTCTGATCATTTTTTCCATACTACTATAGTTTTTAGAACGAAAAATGCTCATATATTTTATAAAAAGTTTAATGTTTGGTTTATTCTCACGATTTTTTAAATTGTTGAT